ATTACAGGAATAACGTTTGTTGGAGATTGTTACTTTGATCTCTGTTCAAGTAAACGAAGCTTTACTTTTTACATACGGTAGTCATTATGTGTACGATCATTCTAAAATGTGGGTGAATTGGTATTACAGTAATATTAATACTCGTTTATTCAATTTCTGTGCATTGGTCACATTTTGCATACCAGTGGAACAATAATTACATTGTGAAAGGTCTAGAAAGTTCTTAATAATACGTCATTGATTAACAAGGAAGAAATGGCTACATTGAAGGAGAAACTTGAACAGCTGGAAGCGGCTAAACACCTTCTCGGTGACCAATACGAAGCCCTCAAGCAAGAGGTCATCAACTCGTTCGTAAAGGGCCCCGCTCCGACAGGTAACGATTTTGTGACTTGGGCGTTGGGGACATAGAGTAGTGTACAGGGTAGAGTAGACGTACGGTTAGCAGCGCCGAGAGAATAGTTCGAAATGTTGTTGCATGCATTATATGTTTGGTCTCCTACACATGTTAGGGTCATAGAGTAGTATCACTCTTATTGAGGGCCATTAATGCATCCCATTAGATATAGTAATTCCTCATCATATTATGAATCTATCAGACATAGTCGTATGGACTAGAGTCGTAGTAATGTGATTGTTGGGAAGCCATTATTATAGCTAGAGTTGACTCTTTATAGCGTCTATAGTCGTGAAATTAGGGGGTTGTAAATATAAATACCGTGATTGTGTTCAAATATTTTTCTAACCCTCGTTCTTTCAACCACAACTGGATCATGGATTTACATGCCTTTCATTATTCGTGATATGCCCATTCTTGTTTGAATTGAATACCAGTTGCTAAGCATAAGGAACCTGGTAAGATAGTTTACTGCTGTGTATAGTGTTGCTGGCTGATAGTTATGATTAATTGGTCTATTTCATCATCATAATTCTCAGACTATCTTGACATTATGGATGAAATATCAAGTCCTTCGAAATGGGCAAGAGAATGGATTAAAGATAGTAAACAAAAGAATGGACGTCTATTCCGCAATCACCGACCCGCTAATGCTTCCGACATTCCGATTCAATTTTACCATCGAATATTTGAAACATTTATCAACTTGTACAGGATTGCCAAATATCAGAGAGGAAACGTGAACTTGTACTTGAACTGGCATCTGTCATGTCCGGTACATTTTCAGATGAAAACCATAGGGCAAATGCTTTCAGATGCTGGCTCGAGCTATTTTTTGATAAATGAAATAGAGATACGCCCAGAAGAAGCGAACATAGGCTGCCAAAGTTCACGGACTGGTGAACGAAGGACAGATGGAAGTATATATCCAAAGATCGGTCGAGATAGAGTTCTTTTGGTAAACTTAGAAGTTAAACCTGAGCCTGGTACGAACGGTGATTCTTACATCCAGAACAGTGCCTACTATAAAGAGTTTGTAATCAAGTCTCGTAAGGAGAAATCTGAGTTTTATAACAAGACCTGTTTGCCCGCTTTCCTTATCAATCTAGATGGTATATATGTCTGCATCTCTACTACGATTGATGCGAATGCTCTTTAACGTCAAAATAATATTATAGGACCATATTTATCGATATCTGGTGCTGTCAGTGTCCCGTTCATGGTCTGGGATCGTCTTACAGACATCTTTCCACTGGATATGGTTACTTATGATCATACTAAAGCGGATTATATTGCAAGAATATTACTAGCTCTAAAAAACTCCATGGATATATTGAGAAAGTACTATACTTCTGTCCGTGAGTCAAGAGAAATCTCAACTGAACCTTTGCAAGATAATCGTTGGTTTCCGTGCATTAATAAGATCGATTTAGAAGAAGGAACGGCTACCATTAAATATAAAGAAAGGCATTCTATATATCGGAGTTTATGGATTGTGGAAATCCAGGCTAAAAATATGCAAGAGAAGGGCTTAGTCAAGTATACACAAAAATATTTTAAAGAAGCACATGATATGTGCTTCAAACTAGGCCTAGCACCCAAATTATGGGCAATTAATAACCTTCAACAACGTTGGCACATTGTCTTCATGGAATATCTGGAGGAATATCAACCACTACATACTTACGATTCAGAATTATTTTTCCAAACCAAAAATATAGTTAAAAATGCTATGAAGTTGTTTCATGATTCTGGTTATGTACATGGGGATCTTCGTGATGAAAATATCATGATCAAATGTGAAAATGGAAAAATTGATATAAAGTTTGTTGATTTTGATTGGGCAGGAAGGGAAGGGGAGGCGAAGTATCCTGAAAGTCTGAATCCTACTATTAATTGGCATCCAGACGCTGGCTGGCATAAACTCATTAAGAAGGAGCACGATCATCATTTAGTTGATAATATTTATCTCAATATAAAACCTGACAAATCCTCAAAAAAGCAACGGCGCCTCTCAGAATGGATGAATTGATCGATATTTACGTTCTCTAAATACGATAATAGCGTCTATATTATCATTTACGTTATGCATTGTAAGTAGCAAATAAACTTTGCGTTTCGAATAAGAATTGTTTTTGTAATACGGAAATATGTCATTAAGAAATGCGCTGTCATAAAAATTACATACAGTGTATAACGAAAAAACCGCTATCATAACCCAATGACCATGCAAAATTTTTAAACAATTTCAATTTTTTTAAAGCTTATAATGTGCTTTATTGCACGTAAAATTTCAATACGAAACTCTATTGCCATTTTTCTGCAAAACAAGCTCACACTTTTTTTTCATCGATGAAATTAACTTTTGTACAGTCGTTTCTGGAATTGCACCCATTCTTCGGTCATAAATTGTTTTATTTCTTAGCATCAACGTTATTCTTGACAATATACCACATGTTTTCGATGCAATAAGGGATATTGGTTTTTTCTTTAGGGATTGGACGCCATTAAGCCTGTTTGTCGTGGAACTTCAAGTCTCCCCATGGTTGCAAAGGACAAGGGGGAGAACAACATGACTAATTACGATAATTATTACTTAAATACGTTTACTAACATGGGGAGTAATTAAACATAAAGACGCATTTGTCATCAATAACAACACACGCACCCTTGTTTTCTTTACAAAATATGTTCAATTTTCGGAAGACGGTTTTTTTCGTTACACACTGTATAGGATGACCCGTATATGAAAAATAGTGAATACAACGGTTCAATCGAATACGAAAAAGCAATGCATTTCTTGGAGAGAGGTTGCAAGAAAAATTCTGAGAAAAAGTTTGCTGAATTACGTGAGGCGTTTCAAGCTCTTTCTAGATCTGAACAAGATATATTTTTAATGGCCCAGCTGAAAGCAATGAATTGTGGAGAAATAACTGCTAGTCGACGTTTTAAAAAAGAAAACGCGTACTAATAAAAGAAGGTTTTACTACTGAGATTGCAATACTCCACTTTGTCAGAAAACGTATTTCAATATGTTAGGAATTGGTCGTACTCACTTCGAAAACGTCAGAAACCATCTAGCAATGAATGGTATACTACCACGCGTTCATGGTAATAGCAAACGACTGCCACGATGGAAAACCAAGATAACCACTGATATAACTGTTGCTACCGCCGTGAAGAATTTTCTTGAAAACTATGCTGAAATCCATGGATTACCAAGTCCTGGTAGAAATGTCAATCGCATTACTCAATCGCTGACATTATTGCCAGCTGAAACAAGTTATAAGTCGGTCTATCGTAAATTTATTGCAGGTGTTGAAAATGATAACACATTGAAATTGTTAAAATATGATGCGTTTCGTAAGTTATGGCACCAATTAACGCCTTATATTCAATCATGAGTCCGAGAACGGATTTGTGCGATACATGTCAACATTTTCGGAATGTCTTACAATATAATGCTCGCAAGGAAGAAGAAGCAAGAGACTTACTAAAAAAATTCAAAGAACATCTAGTTAAGGCTGAATTAGAAAAAAAGTATTACAACAAAAATACGAAACTAGCAGAACTACAGAGGAAATTGGTAGATATAACAAGAGGTAAAGCTAATTATTTGTAGTGTTGACGCTACTGCTCATTACAGTTACGATTGAGCGCAAAACGTTCACGTGCCCCATTCCGATCAACAGGCAAGTA